GTTCTCTTATTGGTCTCTCTGTGATTACACTATGTAATATGAAATTTGTTGTTAATTTAATAAACTGGACAAACACTCAGAGCGTTCTAGTGGTGTAAACTTTTCATGTATTTCTTGGTTGAAAATTCATGAGTTGTCATGGTCACATCAATCTTCTATGTGGTCCTTGTAAAATATGTGGGCTAACTTTCATGCAATTAAATGGAAGATTATTTAAATAATTATTGTGTGCATAAGGTTCTCAACTGAGAAATTACTGAGATGCCCGAAATCCAACCGCTGTTTGCGTATGTAATGTAGAAAAGGCAAGTGTCTGTTCTCAATGCCTCTGTTCTACCAAATTAGCATATGCATTGCTCGGGATATATTTGATTGAGACCCTGTTGGCAGAGAAAGCGTGATTGTTTCGAGAAGAGTTGAAAAAATTCCGTTGATTATCATGTATTTTATTCTCTGAAATCGTGTTTCATCTTTTTTTTGAAATCCCCATGATGCCCTTTTAAACAATTGGGAATCCATAGAGTTTACTGATTGAAGCGTATACTGTTTGAACTAGCTGTTAATAAAATTCCATGTTGTAACTCTGATTGCTAACGAGACAAATAACGTAATTTGGGAGAGTAAAGTTTTTGTTAGCAAACGATATGATATTGAGATTAAAGCTGAGAATATCTTCGGAACTTTCTCTTGATAGAAGAAATGTAGACTTGCTTGCAGTTTTTTCGAACAAGATATATGGGTTTAAGTAACTTTATGATTTTATTCTAGATAACGTTGACACTAAATGAAATACCTTTCTCTTCTCTTCTGACCGAAGATTTAGGGTCTTTCAAAACGAAAATCTTAATGTAATAGTGTTCGGTTGGGTTTTTCTCTCTTGTGAAGAAGTAATGTCGCTTTGACAGTATAAACGAGGAGCTGTGATTAATTAAGACTTTAGTACAACCTTGAATACTGGAATATAACCATTTATTGCCGAAAGTAAAGTAAAGCTTTCCAAGAAAAGGACTCACACGAGTTTATATGTAACCAAGAGGGAATGAACAACACTGACCGGATGATACTTGTAATTGAACGATTTGTGAGGTGATCCAATAAAATCATTAATTGATTCTATTTCGTAATCAGTGATATTTTGAAGGTCTTGTGGATCTAGACATACCTCACTGAGAGAACCCTTCACGCATTTTCTCTTCTGTTTTTTTCTCATCAAATGGTACTATGGAAGTTTCTATATAATATTAGTGGTAATGAGAATATATCTATCCCTTTCTGCTATCCTCCAAGATATTTCATCCTTTTTTCGCTCTCTTCATGTCTCCCTCTTCCGTTTTCCATATAGACAATAATTCTCTGTTCTATTTCTAGACACTGCGATTGAAAAACTCTCTGACTGACTATGATCGGCTGCTGTAGGGGCTTGAGGGCGTGGCCAGTCGACGCCTCGGCGACGTCTTCGTTGTCGTCTTTGTTGTCGTCATCGTTGTCGTCAGCATCTCACGTAGTATCTGGTGCTATCGCTACGTAAAGTACAGACGGTTGCCGACATGGCACCGATCATATCAATGTCCAGTTATGGATTATTGATAATTACCTTACTTGTAGCTTGTATTACTGTAGAATCTAGAGGCTTTCCTAAAATTCCAGGTATCTGTTTTTGTTGTATGTTTCACTAGTTTAATTGTTTTATCGCTCAGGAGCATACTGTTCGGCTCGTTCCCCAACATGCTGTGAAAGTAGGGATGATGATTGTACAGCTCCAATTCTTGGAGATCATCTGTGCTATTGTGATATGTTCTGTGACCGTGGCCCAGATGGAGGTGAGAATTTGCTTCTCTTTTTTCTGAGAAGGAAATAGTTGCCTGTGCTATTGTGATATGTTCAAAAAGAGATGCTAAATTAAATATAGAATAACAAAGCTATCTTCAGGAAACGATTGTTGTCCTGATTTCGAAGCGACATGCCGAGGTGGTTTCTCATCGAAGAATGATATCAATGGACAAGGTTTGAATAGAAAAATATATTTCTTCAGTAGAAAACTCACTTTGTAGAGTGTAATCACAATGGCGCCCGTTATTACGAAGGTGATACAATTAAAAGAAATTGTGAAACTTGGTGGGTCTTCAGAATACTAATAACAACTTGTATAGATGAAGAATCTTAGAAGTTCATCTTGCTAATCTTCTAAATCTTGAATTTGTTCTCGAGTTTTAAAGAGACAAAATGAGTGAAGCCAAGAGAAAGAGAGAGATCAGATGATGATTGCCTCCGCATATTTCCTTTTCCCCAGAGCATAAAATAATATTTCTTCGTTTCTCAGCTCACTGACCCGAAGTTTCGAGAAAGAAATGATAATTTTGTAAGTTCTGTAGGGTTGTCAAGTATTCCCTTTTCCAAGCGAGAGAGTTGTTTCCTTTACCAATTTAAGCTTAAAAATGCTGCTGAAGACAATGATGTTGATGAATTGATTCTGCAACTTCTGACACAATTCGACATTTCCTCTTTTCGATATTATATATTTCTCTGTTCTTTCTTTCCCAACTTCCCCTGTTTCAGCGTTTGCGAAAATAATTATTGGAAATGTGATGACACTACGTGCTTGATACAAGACGATATTCTTGAGAAGGTTCAACATGGCCGATATTCGTGAGTTTCCTTTCTTATTAAGCCATCAAAGCATTCATAATTCATATTTCACGTTTGTCCTATCTGACTTTTCTGAAATATCACCTCATTAGCTATAAATGGATTATTTGATTAGAGTCGCTTTTCTTTGTTTCTTCAAGACTCTGTGGGCTATCGAAATATACTCATTCCTGTCTTCCCGCTGTTTTAAATACTCACAAGAATCTCTGTTTCACATAGGATTTCCTTCTACTCGAAAGCATAGTTTGAGCACGGGTTTTCATTATTTTTTCAACGTTTACATGAAATATGCTTCATGTTTTCTTACTTTTCTTTGTGTTATCGTTCTTTTTGCTGTTTCTTATCTGACTTTCCCAGAACAAATCGTTTTCACACAACGTTTAATAACTGTCTGAACTCCATAAGTGAACTTTGTGATAAAATGATGATGATGATGAAGCTGTTTGACAACACATCAAACAGTTAGCCACATTTTCCCTTGTTGAAACTGGTCTCTTATACTATCATTTATCATGTTTCTGTTCTATCATTTCTCTGAAGGCCATTCAGCTTTTTTAACATTCAATTGAGAACTACTCGGAAACTCATCAGCATGAACCATAACAGTTATTTTAAGAGTTCGGGGTGTACGGTAACTTCACCCTCAATGAGTTCACGAATTTTTTTCTTTTCATGTTTTTCTTCGCACGACACGGTTGTTTTCTATTTTTACCACTATGAATATGAGGGTTATATTATGATTTCAAAAACAAAAACAGTTTCTATGATCAATAATGACATATTGCTAATCAGCATCCGCATTTGATAGTATATATGTCAACAATCTGTCATCACAAATCTCTTTCTGAACAATAGGAATGTCTATTAAATGTATGCTCTTTTACTATGTATTTGTATCTCTTTCGATCACATACTGCTGACCGACCGTACGTCAGAATAGTTAACGATCAGGATAACGTTTCTAATTTTCTTCTCTACATCAATGATAATTCTGATGATAATGATGATAGATTTCTCTGTGTTCCACTTGCCATTTCTTCTCTTTCCCTCTCTTTCCCATCATTCTTCCGAATAATTTTTGATCGAACATCGTTCAAATATGTCAATGGAACTATTATATGCCTGAGGCAATAACAAACCGTCAACATATCCTTCTTACATACTCTAATTACACTTTTCTGTAATTTCATTGATATCCCACAACATTCATTCATATCCCCATGCTAATAAAATTACGTAAACGGAGGACGAAACTCAAGGTGAAAATCATCTAATGGGTTCATCTTCTTCACTTCGATCACTTTGACTCATCTGTCAGCAAAGCTTGTTGGTTTTCATATTCTCATTACATTTCATTCTAGATGGACTGCCAGAAATTATTCATTCTTCTATGGTCGAAGTTTGAGCGATGGCATCAAATACAGATTAGGAACGCTGTTCCCAGAACAATCAGTGCAAAACATGAATGAAATTGAGATCAAACCAAGAGAACTGCCAGAAGAGTTCGATGCAAGAGAAAAGTTAGCACTTCATTGTTATTCAGTTTCTTTACTTTTGATCAAGATGGCCCGAGTTCATTCATCCAGTGCGTGACCAAGGAGATTGTGGTAGTAGCTGGGCATTATCTACAACTACCATATCATCTGATAGGTTTCTACTCTATATGCCAGATCGTTACTCATTTCTGTTTACAGATTAGCCATAATATCAGATGGACGAATTAATTCTACGGTGTCTCCCCAACAGTTATTATCCTGTAACCAACATCGTCAAAAAGGTTGTGAAGGGGGATATTTGGACAGAGCCTGGTGGTACATCCGTAAATTAGGGTACGCAGTCTTTTTTTATAAGCGAAAATTGGTTTGAGTACACTGATTAGGCTCAGCGATCCTCATTTCGAGAAAAAAAAACATTTCTTTCAACCTTGAAAATCTGGCTTTTATTTTACTGTTTCCAGAGTAGTTTCGGAGACATGTTACCCATATGAGTCGGGATTGAGTCGTGAACCCGGAATATGTCATATCCCTAAAAGCAGCTATAGATCTGGTAAAGGGATAACTTGTCCATACGATGACACCATCGATAGTACTGTTTATAAAATGACTCCTCCGTACAGAGTTTCAAGCAGGTTTTAATTGTGTGTTTTTATTTGGTTGGGAAATAATATGTTTGAGAGAAGAGGATATCATGACTGAAATCATTACTAACGGACCTGTGCAATCCACGTTTGCCGTACACGAGGATTTCTTCATGTACAAAGGAGGTTGGACAGAATCGCTTGTTTCGACACAATCTATCTTTATTATATCTTCAGGAGTTTATAAACACAGTGAACTTGCAAATGCTAAAGGAGCCCGTTTTGTAGGAGAAGGATACCATTCCGTTCGTGTACTAGGGTATAATCGCTTAATTCGATGAAATCGTTAAGACCGTTTTCTAGATGGGGCGTGGATCATTCGACTGGTCGGCCTATCAAATATTGGCTGTGTGCGAATTCCTGGGGAACTTCTTGGGGAGAAGACGGACTATTCCGGATTATCAGAGGAGAGAACCATTGTGAGATCGAAAGCTTTGTAATAGGTAATACTTCCTAGTTATGGTTTGTTGATTATCAATTTCAGGAGCCTGGGGCAAGGGGGCCAAGAAGAAAAAGAGATTTAGAAAATTTAGAAAGATGCGTAGACGTGTTCGTAAATTTTAAAGTTCGACTGTACTAGTATTGGCCATTCACTCAAGGATTTGAACCGATTCTGCTTATTTTTTAAAACAATTTTCTAACTGGAAGTTGAAGCTTTTAACCTGTGCTTGCCATTCTGCTTTTAGAGTCATTCCATCCGCCGGCTGTGTGGAAAACCTCCTTTAATATTTCTTGAACTTGTTTTTGATTGTTAATCTGCTTTTCGCTTCACTTAGTTTATTGTATATTTACAATATCGAACAATTAAAACTTATGATTTATATGTTATGAACTTTACCAGTGGTCGTTAATCTTTTAAATATTTTGTTTAAATTTTACCACTCATGATTCTTGTGAACGGTTTGTCTGGGACAGATTTGAAACGGAATGGTTGAGGTGGGGTTTCGTGCAACTTATCTTTGGGCGGTATCACTCGACGTGTTGATAGAGTTGAGTTCTTCAAAAGTGCTATGAAACTTTTCTTCAAAAATGTACTTACTGATGATCCTGAAACACTCGCGTTTGATTTACTGAACGGCTTCACTTCGATCTGTTTGGTTTTTCGTCTTCTAGGCAACCTAAAATAGATCGGATTAGTACGGTTATTACAGCAAGTGTTCACTGTTGAGACTGGTGTTGTCGGAGATCAGGAACAGATTTACGCATGCTTGAAGTTTGCATGCTGGTCAGTGGCATAGTTTGTTGGGAAGGTACTCTCTTTCTTGGCGGGCTAGCTTAAGAACCGTTTTCACAATGCAGAAAACATCATGACACTCACATGATTTAGCCAGCTTTTTATTTCTTCTAGAACTTCTATTTGTTTCTTTCGTCGCACTCACGTGTAGATTAGCCCGGTTGTTTCGATCTGAGAATCATATGGTTATACTTACTAATGTCGTTTCGTTTGCCTAATTTAATTTGCTGTTGAGTTCCGTTAAGATCGATGAAAATTTGGATTGGTTGAGGAGGTGGGGCGGGTAAGCTTTTCCCTGAAACATATGAGAGTGGCAATATTAAACTTGCAATAACTGTTGGCAGCTTTTCTTTTTTTCTTCTTCACGGTGTGCTCTTTAATTGACGATGGGGATGTACGGGGTCGTCCGATTTTTGGAATACCTAGTTGAATTAGTATAATATCGATAAAGATTAAAACCTTCTGGGCGATATGACCAAGCTCTGTTCGTGTCAGAGAAAGTGGATTGAGCAGGATGCACTAATAAGTTGATTTCACTTTCGCAGCCTACTGATACTCACCTTTAGGCAAATATGAACCACGTCGACTTTCTTTGTGTACAACTAAGAAGTCATTCAGAGGTGAACTAAAAGGTGTTGTGTAGGCGCTTTGAATTAAGCATAAGTATAATTTCAAGAAAAAAACAGTTATCTAGTTGTGCAAGCACGTACCAAAGGAGAATACAGCTAGTGAATTTCGTTTTCAATAGCATATCTCTTACGCGTTTGATCGTGAAAGTCTTTATTTTTTTTCAGAACGTACCTAACGATTTCCGAAGGTAGTGGTTGATGAGTTAATACTTCTGTTGGGTCCTCGTACGAATACTCTCTGTTGAGAGTGAAAACTTCAGCTTGTCCACGATGCGATGATCGGTAAGAGTCATAACTCCGTACTCGTCTCTGATTTCTTGAAGTTTTCGGCTCATGGCTCCTTCTCAAACTCGTTAATGAGTTTGATCTTGTAGATATAGGTGTCCATTGATCTGTATTGGTGCAAGTGATTATAATGTAGACGAGTTTTTACCTCCACATATTTTACCAGGGCCACATAGAAGATTGTCAAACGAACTGCCCCAGCTACTATACGGAGAGGCTGAATAGTTGCATATGTAAAGATGAGCGAAGAGGAATCTTACTTGCTTTATCAAATTGCGATTGCTTACTACCCATAGAAAAATACGAATTAAGCTATGTGAAACCTATGGAAGACGCGGCTTCTTTGTCAGTTGTGACCATGACAACTCATGAATTTTCAACCAAGAAATACATGAAAAGTTTACGCCACTAGAACGCTCTGAGTGTTTGTCCAGTTTATTAAATTAACAACAAATTTCATATT